GTGCCTCTTTGTCGCTCGTTCCGCGCTCTCGCTTGCACTTCAAGCCTTAAATGGAACGCCTCAGAGCGAGGTAACGCCGCATGAGTCATGTTTTTTCGTGCGTGCAGCCGGCTCCATCGAATTATAAGACGTTGTCAAGTCAAAAAATAATTATTATCAAAAATAAAATAACATTTTTTTTATAAAAAGGGATTTATGGAACCCAAATTTAGATATATTAAAGCCTAAAAAGTGAATAGCTATAAAAGTAACTTAATTAAATGATCTCGAAAAAAAACTACAAAAATACAAAGTCCATAAAAGATTTAATGTTCATTAGGGTTCCGTTCGTCGAAAGGAAACAAGAACCCTAATTAGAAAGTTGAAATTAATATGATACGTATACTCACGTTTGCAAACCCCTGGAGCTGTGCAAAAATCAAAGTTCTCATCAACGCAATCAAAAGATACGACCGTTTATATCACATATTTTAACGCCCGCAAGGAAATAAAAACTTATAGGGGACTTCCCGCTGACACAGAATCATGAAGTTTGACAAAAAGTGATGTCTTAGATATAGCACATGTAAAAGAAAAAGCCGAAAACCGCAAATTTGTAGTTACAACACAAAAAAAAAGATTTTTTAATTGTAATATTGTAATGAACTTAAAACATACTTGGAAAAAGAGGGTAAAATCTTGAAGATTTGATTCACGAATTATATACCTATAGATCTTTCGCCGAGTGGAGACGGAAAAGTCATAAATCGTTTTTACAATGGGGTATAGGTACAAAGATGAAAAAGGGCCCTTTCTCGACCAATACGATAAGATTCGATTCAGATGGAATCCAACATATTTGCAGTGGCGTACACAAAATTTACGTAGCGTTAAGATAGCAAGTATTTGATTTATTAATCTGCTGTTAATTTTTTATTTTATTGCATCACCATTAATATTAAAGTTTACTAACAACTTATACAACAGTTAACACAAAATTAGTACAATATTAGTGATATAGTAATTAAGTGTCGTGTTAAGAAAAATGTATCCTCATCAACTCTAAAAACCAAATTAATATGAACAATTATTATATAATTTATAACATATGATCTGTTAATTAACTTTTACTGCTATTGTATTGAAAATATTCACCGATTCTTATTAATTAGTATTTAGGAATGGTTACTTCTCTAGTAATAGGATTAGTTTCATTTGGTAATCACCAATCAGGTCTTCGTTTTTACTGAGTTTTGTATTGGCTGTTGTAAATGTTGTTAGCAAAACTGAATATTGTTAGTGATACAAAAAAAAATTAACAGCATATTAATAAAACAAAAATTTTCTTTCTTAGCGCTACGTAATTTTTGTGTACGGCACTGCAAATATCATATTAGATTCCATCTGAATCGAATCGTATCGTATTGGTCGAAAAATCACCCTATTCCATCTTTGTACCTACCCCGTTGTAAAAATAATTTATGGCTTTTCCGTCTCGACACGGCGAAAGATTCATACATATCTACCTAATACAAATTTGTATGAAATTTAATTTTTGTTTTTTAATAGGTACCTATATGTTTTTGACTCTATTGCTCATCATTTGATATAAAACATTTGCAAAAGTGATTAAAAAATCACAATTGGGATGACATTCAAGCGGTCATGAATAAGTCAAATATTTGATTTTTTTTAATATACATATGTGTTACTCGAATTTATGCAATTGTTATTGAGTGTACTCGGCAAAATTGTATCCAATTCATGAAATAAGCAAAGGACTTAACGTATTTTTCACCGATAATATTGATTGAAGTCCTTTACAACGATAGCTAGCTACTCGAGGTTAATATCTTCGATGCTATTTTGTTTCAGATAAATTTATTGATATCGACAAGATAGATTAGCACGTATCCTCCGCTTGACGTTCCCATATTTTTATCTCGGGTTTGAACGTAGGAACCGCCCTTCAGGGTAATTAGAAAATAGCGCCGCACACAGAACGATTTCCCGTCCGATTAACGGCAAAAACAGAAACGAATTTAGCGTAGATAATCTGATTAGACTCACATTCGTCTTGATGGCTGGAAGAACTAATCCAGACACGGCTACAGCCCTATCATTACAAATCAACGATTATTTTCGTTTAACAGAGAAATTAGAAAAAAGGACCCAAGTCCAGTTAATCTTATTAATTTTTTGTTTTTAGTCCCTTCCAACTTCTTTTCGTATAGTTCTTTTTAATCATACACAATAGTGGTGAAATAAAGACTTATTATAGCAGTCTCCAACTTAAGCTATTTTCAATAATTAAAGTCTGATCCTAATATTTTCGAAAAACACTGCTTGCAGTTTGAAAGGGGACAAAAATCTTTCTACTAACACTTTGGGGCATAAAATTACAGCACAAGTTAGAAAACTGTGTAACTCTAATTAAATTGGAAACAAAAGGCATCTAAATTAAAATTTTGTCAATGTTTGATAGAAAATTTAGGGATTGAATAATATAAAGTTCATCAAATTAGATTCACTGTTCAAGTACCAACATGAAATAATTTTCAGTGCCTTTCAATTTTAAGAGACCGCGATATCGTTTACTCCACGCTGTACGTATGTATTTCATCACAAATATTAAATATTATTTACTGTTAACGATCTATCATTTTTTTTTTAATGCCTAACTCACCTTTCAAGCACTTAACAATTCCTCAAGGGAAATTCAAATCGACATAGTACAAAGGTTCACACATCACAAAAACTTCGTTTTCCTTTTCAGAAACGGTAAAAGACAGTAAAAAGGGATACTATTTGTAAAACCCTTACCGGACACCATGGAACCCGAACCGGCCGAAATAAATGAACATAGACACCGATTGAATCACTCAAAAAGATTATACACAGAAGAGAAAGTGATAATTCAGTTTAAGATCACTTTCGTGAGTCACCGTAACAATCTATCGGATTTTCCGGATGGCACGCGATTGAATCAACAGTTCGCTGCAGCTAGCAAACAAGCGAAAATCTGCGGCCTTATTTTCAGCCTACCTTCGTGCAGGTTGAGATCACGGACTGCTGCTACGGAAGCGCAGAAATGGTCCAGCGTCGCCTGCGAGCACGCGCGCTTATCACATACCCCGTCGACGGTCGGTGGCAGGCAGCAACGTTGGAGGAGGTGGCGGTGGTGGTGGTGGTACTACTGTAGACGATCGTGCGCCCCCGCTGATTTCATTACAGTAAATCATATAATGTACAACTGAACCGTTCAGATTAGACCCTTCTGATGGTTGATCTCCAGCAAAGGCCAAAGACAAAGCCTGTGAGAAGGTACGATCTTGTGTCTATGTGCAAGGACCTGAAGGAAATTGACACTCGAAGGACTGTAGAGAAGCTTTTGAGAGCTGTAGGTTAAGTCCGTTTCCTGATCAAGATGATAGCTGATATCTAATATGAGCATCTTGAATTTTATGAATGGAGAGCATTTTGACATATACCTGCTTATACAGGGTGTACTAAAAATATGTGTAGAGCACTGAAGGGTGTAAACTAGACGCAATAAACAATCGCATGGTAAATTTAGCAGGGAAAAAACATTTTTAAGAAATAACAATAATTTACAATCCGAAGCCGGTCCTGTGCGTGAATTGGTAACATAGGTTTCTACCGAATAGCGTCGTGCTATAAAACCTCTGCAGCTACATGAATGGAGAATGTAAACATTTCCAGTTATCAAACGTTTATGATTAACATAAACAATTCAGTAGGTACTACACATAACGTTTAAGTAGCAGTATGTACACAAATGAAAGAAAAAATGTATGTTACGTTAACAATTAAATTACTTTGTAACTTCTTACTAAAAATGATGATCATAATGGTCATACAATTTCAAAATTCGTTAATTGAAAATATAAAACCGATGACATGAATTATTATCTTTGACGATGCGATAATGTTCATCTACCTACAAACCAAATAATGTATAATGTGTTTGAATGTGATTGAAAGTCTCGAGAATCGGCATTCCAGCGACGAGAGAGCAGTAAAAGATTTTTCGTGATGCAAAGCAGTAAAAAGCGCCAAAGTCGCGGAAATAATCAAAGCGAATTGCGATTTTTACAACGCCATTATCATCGGCGAAGTAGAAATATCGGGACTAGCATGAAGTTCGTTAATGGGATTGCAATGTTAGATGTTCGTGTGAGAATTCGTTTACAAGATAACATTTACATTATAGTGCACGTTCGTCCGAAGGTACACAGTAGTTACCTACTATTAGAAGGAATATAAATTAACGAGATAGGTCGTTGCATTTATACCTAATACACTTTTCTCCTTTTTAGTATTTACCATTAACGATAACGTTGCAAATAAAAGTATTCGGTTGGTTCAATTGGGCTGTTTTACTTCTTTTTCAAAAAAGAAGAGGTAACCATAACACCTCAGATATATAGTAAGTACTAAACCCGATATCACAATTTTGTTCCTTGCTTCGTCAAAAAAAGGAATACAGGAATCTTTAGTAGTTCATTACTACTTATCTTATAGACTGAGAGCCAGCGTTCCGCAGACTTACGGTATAGTAGCAAAGTCCTTATTAATGCTAGGTGTACTATTTCACCTGCCGTAGGTGAAGTGGGGATCCACTATTCCCATCAAGGGTTCCATTAGTTCCCAGTGATATGAAGGGTGAGAGAGTCAAAATCATGCGCCTTCATTAGCACGACTGAGAAGGTATTATGTGGTCTGCCTGGATGTCAGAACTGACCTATCCGTCTGGTTTTTTGAATATGTGTATGTAATAATAATATAAATGACATATATAATTTTTAGCTTTACTGAAATAACGCTAAGTTGTATAGAATTTTCGCAGCTTTGAAACTCTATAAATTATAGTAGGGACCGAAAGAAGTGCCTGCCATTAAATTTTTACACAAAAAATTATATTAAAACGGCAGACAATCTGCGACCACGTTTTCAGGGTCAATTTTGATGCCTTTCGACTTCTGGGCACGCCCAAAGGAACCCTCGATGGGAATAGTGAATATCAACTTCACCTACGGCATGTGATAGCATTAATAAGGACTTTGCTCATATATCGTAAGTCTGCGGAACGCTGGCTCATAGACTATTATGAAACGGGTAAGGCATTTGTTTTCCCGATAAAAGGTACCTAATATACAAACCCGACATCCCACAGATATTGGTACAGGTATTGCTGTATGCTCTAAGAAAGTACCTTCAAGGAACGACCCTAGAATTGGTGTAAGTTTCGATTATCTGTGGGCCTTTCAGTTCAGAAAAGAAGAAATTTTTAACATTTACTAGCAAATATCATCAATTAAGTCGAGCGAACCCTACAGGACACTTCTCCTAACACCACTGTAGAATTCTAAAGGATAATCCATCTTTACTGGCTTGATAATATTGACCATATGGACAATCACCTTCCGATCATGACTCCATCCGCTACATCAACTTCAGATTTTATCTACCGTAAATTTTAATTTTGGCACCCACATCTTAGCAAAAGATTCAAAATCATAGAGACATTATTAGAAGGGCTTGTTCAATATCAGCATCATTGAAGTTGGACTTTGACATAATGTATTTGCGGCAAATTTCGGCTGTTTTATTTCTTTTTCAAAATAGAACAGATAACCATGACACAACAGCTACTAAGTACTAAACCCAACAATGTAACTTTCTTCCTTACTTCGCCAAAAAAAAAAAGAAAATAGGAATCTTTAGTAATTCATTGCTTATCAAATGAGGTCTAAAAGGCCAAAAAGGGTAAGGCATTTGTTTTCCCCAATAATCTCTATAAAAGGTGGTCAATATAATAAGCCCAACACCCCACAGATATTGGTTCAGGTATCGTTGTACGCTCTAAGGGAGTACCTTCAAGGAAGAATCCAAGAATTGTAGTTATTTTCGGTTATCCACAGGTCTTTCAGTTCAAAAAGAACAAATTTTTAATATTTGCTAGCAAATATAATCATTTTAGTCGAGCTAATCCTACAGGGCACTTCTCCTAACACCACTGTAGAATTCTAAAGGATGATCTACCTTTANCAGAAAAGAAGAAATTTTTAACATTTACTAGCAAATATCATCAATTAAGTCGAGCGAACCCTACAGGACACTTCTCCTAACACCACTGTAGAATTCTAAGGGATAATCTATCTTTACTGGCTTGACAATATTTTGACATTATGGACAATCACCTTCCGATCATGAGTCCATCCGCTACATCAACTTCAGATCTTATCAACCGTAAATTTGAATTTTGGCACCCAAGTCTTAGCAATTTGTTTTCCCCAATAATCTCTATAAAAGGTGACTAATATAATAATCCCAACACACCACAGATATTGGTACAGGTATCGCTGTAAGCTCTAAAGGAGTATCTTCAAGGAAGGATCCAATAATTGGAGTTATCTTTGGTCATCTGCAGGCTTTTCTTTTCAAAAAGGAAAGGTGACGGTTCAATTTTTAAAATTTACTAGCAAATTTCATCAATTACGCCTAGCGTTTAATGATCAATCCTACAGGACACTTCTCCTAATGCAGAATTCTGAAGGACAGCCTATCTTTACAGGCTTGATAATATTTTGACATTATGGAGAATAACCTTACGATCACCGCTACATCAACTTCAATTCTATCTACCCGTAGATATATTTGAATTTTGGAACCTAAGGCTTAGTAAAAGATCCAAAATCATGAAGATACTTGTTAGGAGACGAAAAATTAGAAGAAATGGCTGATTTTGGGTATCTAGGAAGTTAGATAGGTCAGGACGGAAGGAGTAGTAGGGATGTAAGCGCAGAGAGCGCAGGGTCTAGTCGCCTTCAATAAAAAGAAGTCACTTCTATGCTCACAAACGGATAATTTATAAATTCGAAAAAAAAAAATTAAAGATGTATGTTCGGAGCGCGGCACTGTACGGGTGCGAAACATGGACGATGGGAGCGGTGGAAAAGAAAAGGTTAGAAGCATCCGAAATGTGGTGTTATAGGCGAATGATGAGGATACCGTGGATAGAGAAGGATAGAAATGAAAAGTTATTAGAAAGAATAGGAGTACAGAGGACTGTATGGGGGTCAATAAGAAATAATAGAGATATGTTGGTAGGACACCTTCTCAAGCAGGGAGAGCTAGTCGAAATCATATTAAAAAGCAGAAACAGGAGTCAAGAGGAATAGAGGTAGACCTAGATTAGATTACTGTTAGCAAATAGTTAAGGATGTGGGTTGTTCTAGTTTTGGGAAAATGCGAAGATTAATTCAGGATAAGATAGAGTGGAGGTGCGTCTCCAATCAGTCTTACGACTAAAGACTTATGATGATGATATTCGGTCCATTGATAAACTATCAACTGATAACACTTTTATCAAGGTATTAGAACAGAGGACTCTATGGAAGTCCATAAGAAATAGACGAGATAGGTTGGTAGGACACCTTCTCAGGCATGCAGGTCTAGTCAGAGACATATTAGAGACAGAAACAGGAGTAAAGAAGAGTAGAAGTAGACCTGAATTAAATTACTATTCGCAAATAGTTTAAAATGTGGATTGTTCTAGTTTTGGAAAAATGCGAAGATTACCTCAGGATAAGAAAGAGTGGAGGTACCAACCAGTCTTAGGACTAACGACCTTATGATTATGATATTCGGTCCATCGGCAAACTATTAACTGTTTTACCAAAGGTACACTTGACTGTTTTAAGTAGGTATATATTTATTTACAGCCGAAACGAGATATGTACCATACCTTGAATTTAATTTCTTTTCTATATGTACGTATATAGACACACACATTCTACAATATTTTCGCTTTTTGTTTTTGTTGAAGTAAAGTAACGTTTGGAACGATGTCAAAGTGGCGAATCCCAAATGAAATTATGCGGGTTCGCTTTGAGTAATACCTTAAAAATTTTTAGGTATTCTTTTTCGTGTCGAATACTAAACAAGCCACGCTAGACGGTTAGGATCATAAATTTTAATTTTGCGACATGGACTTTATGGAGCTTTGCATGAGCTTTTATCATCTGCTCTGCCAG